ATTCATAATCTATATTACTAATTAGTAAATTAATATCTTTATGAGAAGAAATAACAGCAGTGTCATCAGCAAATAATGAAAATTTTAAAATACTTGAGGAATTTAAAATATCATTAATGTACAACAAAAATAACAGTGGCCCAAGCACAGATCCCTGTGGGACACCCGTATTATTACATAAACAATCAGATTATGTACCATCGGCCATCACATACTGTTTTCTTTCTAATAAATAACTCCTAAACCATTCTAGAGGAACACCTCTTATACCATAATAATTCAATTTTTTAAGCAGGATGTGATAGTCGATGGTATCAAATGCTTTGGAGAGATCCATAAACACTCCACAACAAAATTTCCCTTCATCAAATGCGCGCGCTATATAATTTGTAATGTTTAATATGCTTAAAGACGTGGAATGATTTTTCCGGAAACCAAATTGCTCTGAAGCTATGGAATTATTTTTTAACAAAAATGTATAAAGTCTTTTAAACATAATCTTTTCGAGTAATTTTGAAATAAGTTGACAACAGTGCAATTGGCCTGTAATTTTCTATATTACTTACTGGTCCTTTTTTGTGTAACGGAATAACTTTGGCCACTTTAAGTTTGTTAGGAAATATTCCTGAGACAAGAGATTTATGATAGATATTGCACAATGGGTCCACAAAAAAGTGTATACATTTTTTTAACACAGAAGTTAAGACATTTTGAGTTCATGACAGAGACTAATTATTTCATGAGAGGAGGTTGGATTCAGAAACAAAGAGGACATGCATGGTGCAGTCAAAAAGTCGTTAAATGATTTAGATGAATTTGGAATTGACGCTGAAAGTTTTTTAGCCATGTTGATAAAAAGAGAGTTGAAAGCCTGCGCTTTATCTTTTGAAGAATGGAAAGATGAATTCTCATAAAACATTTTCTGTGGTAATGAACTATTTTTGTTTTTTCCAAGTAAATTATTAATTTCTCGCCACTTTTTAACCATGTCACCTTTGAATGAATATAATAACCTAGAATAATATTCAGCTTTTGAAGCTCTAATTGTAGAAGTTAACCTGTTTTTATAATCATTATATATTATTTTTTTCCTTGTATTTAATGTATGAACTGCAACTTTATACATTCTATGTTTACGCTTAATTGATCTCAAAATACCATTAGTTATCCAGGGTTTCTTAAATTGTACTTTATAACTAAATTTGCGTGATGTTGAAGTACATACAGGAAAACATGCATCATATAACGTACGAAACTTGTCAATAACATAGTCATAACATACATTTACATCATTGTTATCATATACTGTGTGCCAATCAGTTGTACCAAGTTTCTCCTTGAACATAAATATTCCTCTGTCATCGACTAATCTTTTCTTATAATTCTTATTGTGAGTTGGAACAAAATAGTTTTCTTTATCTTTACATAAACAATATATTGGGAAATGATCAGAGAGATCGGAATAAATGAGTCCTGAATATTTACTTTTATGAATTGTATTATCTATTAATGATGCTTTATAAGGTGTAATACGAGTGGGTTTTGAAATTAAAGGATACATATTAAAAGAAAACATTAAATCTAGAAAATCAGTTGTTTTGCAATGTGTGTTATAGTTCAGTAAATCAATATTGAAACCACCCATAATATAAACATCTCTTTGCTCACTTTCCAGTTTTACTAGAATGTCATTCATTTTTATCATAAAAGCAATTTATATTAGTATTTGGAGGTCGATATACAAAACCATTGGTAATTGGCTTCGTTTTTCCTTGAATTTCAATAAAAAATAATCTCATATGCAGGTGTATTAAAAGAAATGTCGGATCGCAGTGTTACATTTAAATCTTTTTTAAAATAAAGGGCAATTCCATCACCTCTACGTGTGGCCCTATATGATTGTAGAAGATTATAATTATTCAACTTAAATAATGACAACTCTGTACTATTACTAAACCACGTTTCAGATATACCAATAATACTAAATTCATAAGAAAGAGAAGATAATAGTATTTGAAATTCATCAAAAATTTTCTTTAAGCTCCTTGCATTTAAATGTAGCATTGAAAATGTAAATGTTTACATGAGAAATTACTACAAAAATCATCAGCAAATACATATTTACATGGATTTACAACAGTATTTATAGAATTAGAATCACAATCAGAAAGTTCATTCCCAGATGTTCTCATGAAATCTGTTTCAAATGGATTAAATTTCAAACCCTGAAGTTTATTAAGGTCACCATGTGAATTCATATAAAAATAAGTATATACAGACCAGTAAAATGGACATTGATCTACATTTGCCACTCCCCGCCCAGGTGTTAAATGGGTACCGGTATGAAGGAATTCCTTAAAATGCTGTGAGCGTCGAAATCGGCAGCCTAGCATAGCCGGGTAATGTTGGAGCGCCTTGAGGACCTTTGCAAGGTCGATACGTGCGCTATATAAGAATCCAATATTATTATATATTATTTACATAATAGAATTCAAGTTTACTCTGCTCTAGAGGCCCTCGAAGAAATATCACACGTGACTCTCTTTAAATTATGTTTAAGTCGGTCAGTGGCAATCCAAATACTCTTCGGATTTGATTCGAATTAACAATAAGACGTCTTAGGAAAAATCCACACAGCCAAAACTTATATTTTATTTTTGATTTGATTTGATTTTCTTCTGCATTCATGTAAACATACAGTTTTTCGATAACAATAATAATACAAGGTACAATAAGTATTTTTCTGACAATGAATCATAAATTAAGCAAATACATATATATAAATTGTTATTTTCAAAAACGAAATGATAAACTGTCATAGATACTAAATTTCCTCAAACATGATAAAACATTATAAAATTATTTGCGGAAGAAGTACTGTCATTGTAAGCAAATTGCCTGATCATACGACAGCCCCAGACAAAACTCATGAAATATATTAACACATTTATTAAGCAGAAACGGATAGGTAATTGAAAATACAAATTTCGATGATGGTGATGCAGATGAGGATGATGATGATGATGAAGAAGATGATGATGATGGTGATGATGATGATAAGGATGATGATGATGATGACGATGGTGATAATGATTCGAATGAATGAATGAAAGAAGAGATGAACTTCGCTTCCGATTTATTCTAAACAATTTATTTCAACAATGACAATCAATTTCGCATGTAGTTATAATGCATGTCTTCTTCATTAATTGTCACCCCTTCTGAATAAAGAACATATGAATGAGAAAGTTACCCGATTAGGGAATGTGACAAGGTGAAAGGCTGGTAACTGTTGCCTCCAAACAAAATAAGTATCTCCTTATTTTCTACTTCTTTTATTCTAATATTTTTATTTTTATTCTTCATTTGAAGGAAACGTGTTAATGGTCAGAGTTGCTAATAATCATAAGAGATTTTACTGTAAGGATAATAAGTAAGAATGATAGACTTATAAGACTCTCTATATATATCTCTCTCTCTATATATATACGTATATATATCTCACATTTGTATAGTATTTATTGAAATCAAATCAAATTACATCAAAACCCCAGAACAAACAGTCCGAAGACTGTCGACACCTGTCTTGTGTACAAGTTCAACATACAATTTAAATCAAGTATACATAATAAAATGGCAATAAAGAATACATTAATGAGTTACATAGGTTAAACTATCAAATAACTATATCATCACTGAATAAGAAGTTAACAATACAAACAAAAATAAAGTAGTAAGTAGTGAAAAGTAAGCTAAAACAAAATGTAAAGAACTGACAAAATTAAAAGCTCACTGCTGCTGGAGAGCGCCCTCTCTCTATCCTTCTCTCTCTTGCTCGCACTCTCTCTCTCTCTCTCTCTCTCTCTCTCTCACGTATCCTTATGTTTGCACTTTGTTGTTCTGTATTCCCCTTATGGCCTCTGGATCAGTAATTTTTGTCTACCATCTTAATAATAACTTCTCATGATATGTCTCTTTCCTATTACATATCAGTATTTTGTTAATGTTGGAAAGCTCGTACGAGTGAATACAATTTGCCATTAAAGTCACATAAGTGCGCTTTGTAAAAGTGTACCATTATCATTAGATGCACCATCATTATCTTTAGGTTGATGATCATTGTCATTTTTAATGTTGTTGTTATTACTATTCACATTATCATCCACATGATCATATCATTATTATTATTAATATTATCATTCTTCTGAATATTATCATTATTATTAGTTTAATCATCATCATCATTATAATTATAGTTTCTATAATTATTATAACTGTTCTTGTTGTTGTTGTTATCACTCATATTCTCCACTCAGCTGACAAAATCTTTATAACGGACCTTGACGATAGCAAGATCTTTGTGGGTGAGAACAGTGGCTTCGACTTCCACGGCGAGGACATCCGCGAAATCCCACTGAGCGGGGTTGAAGCTCCTACAGGTATTGACTACGATTACCGGACCGACAAGATTTACTGGAGTGATGAGGACGCGAGTACAATCAATCGAGCTTCACTTGATGGTTCGAACCAGGAAATCTTGATTGAAGGCATTGGATGTGAGTGTGGCTTAGATATAATATATATTTTCGTTCGTTCATGTATTTATTAGACTATTTATGTATATATCCATATATTTATTTATTATATTTGTTCGTTGATTTGTTAAATATTTCTTCATTTATTGTTTATCTAATCATGTATTAAATAAGGTTTATCCATTCTAGCTCTATTCTTGTTTTGTTTTATATTATTTTTGTATATTTTTTGTTATGTCTTTAGGCTTTTTCTAATGATATATATGCCATTTCAAAAATTATTTAGATTTGTTCTATCAATCTGAGTAATGGCATCCTAATTTCGATACTTAATATGGCGCAAATGAAATCTGGACAGTGACGTTTGCGTATCGTCAGTCATCGTGCTATCCACCCTGGGGTTTGTGCATCATTGTGCTGCAAACCAAGATCAATCAGATTTTTTTTCTGGCCCCTTTAATGAAATCGTTTTGGTCAAATACAGTCCAGCACAATTTTTTGTTTTCATCTCTGTAAATGTATTTTTTTTTTTACATTCTAATTTATCCATTCAGACCCGCAAGGAATCGTCCTAGATTTAATGGCGAACAGGATGTTTTGGACTGATACTCTGTTGGAACAAATAGTGAGTGCTAGCGTACTCGGGTCTAACCGACGAACCATTATCAGTACGGGTCTTTATCGCCCATGGGGAATCACATTGTCTCAAAAAAGAGGGTGAGTGTAAATGAAAAAACGTGTCATCTCTCTTTCTCTCATAGACAGCTATTTTTTTCTTCTCTGCCTGTGTGTCTGTCTACTCTCTGTCTCTCTATCACAGACACACACACACACCCACCCGGAAAACAAACACACTCACGCACATACACATATATACACACACACACACCCACAAACATATCGCGACACCTTATATATATATATATATATATATATATATATATATGTATATAAATATAAAACATATGAACATTGAAAGCAAACATTCAAAGGCCAATACAAATTAGTGCGCAATCAACCTGACCAATACCCGGCCCCCCACTCAGTGTTATTTAGGGTACGCATATGCTCGTTCCCTCTTTTTGAAAGCACCCCCTATCTGAGGACTGCCAACATTTCCGAACCCCCCTTTCGCGGGCTTTTCGCGGGCTTTTCCTGCCTTGAAGACCCCCCTAAATCATGAAAAATGGTCAATGTACCCCCCTTAATTCGGAATAATTTCTTAGGAGTGCAAAGAGATGAGAGAGAAAAAGAAAAAAACACCCCCTTTTTAAAGAAATCTCCGGGTTAAAAGTCAAATACACCCCTTTTTTTACAATTCTCGGGCCGGACTTTGTCGCACGAAAAGTACCCCTTTACCGGACATTTTGGTAACACGCATGCGGTCATTTCGAACCCTGAGTCGGGGGGCCGGGGACCAATATGAGACTAAACGGTCAATTCAACTGGAATACCCGTGTGAACGTATTTCTGTGCGTGGATGGGTTAATGGTTATATGTGTGGGTATATAACATCCACTCTCAACGGAGTTATTCAACCACTGCTTTTGGAGTGGATTCCACTCCAAGGTCGCTTATCTCTGATATCAATCATTTCTTACATCTATACAATGGCATGTTTATACACATAGTTCACATACACATTTTTCAGATACGGGCAAATCATTTTTTTCTTCTTTTTTTCTTATGGTAAAAGGAAATTGTACTGGACTGACCAAGGTCTATCAACTGGAAAGATTGAGATGTCAAATAAAGACGGATCGGACAGAAGACAGCTGATTACAGCACGATTGAGAGAACCTAGGGGCCTGGCCCTTGATTCTCAAGGTATACAAGAAAAATCGTCGATGGTATCACTTCATGTTCAACATTGTAAATACATGATCGTCAATGAAGATGATTACTTATTTTAAGTAAAATGTAAATACTGTATACACGAAGACAATGTGAATTGATATCACCTGGATATAGAAATAGTTTCTACTCTAGTCGTTCAAAATAACATAGAATTAAGGTTTACTATATACTTTTCGGATGTTTGTTAGAAATCTTGCCCCCAAAGGAAGGGGAAATGGGCATTTATGGGCGAACTCATCAGAGGTACAAAAAAGGGCACTTATAAGAAGGGGCACTTATATGAAGAAAAAGGAGCACTTCTCTGAAATAAAGAGGGGCACTTTTTGGGTACTTTACAAAATAGGGAGAGGGGAGGGACAGTTTTTATTATCATCAGTTATCTGGTCGCTCCTAATTATTTATTAACTACCAGACTATTTTTTTCAACTCGTCTTCTGCAGAACAGCGCCTGTACTGGACGGAGAGCTACTATGATGTGATCGAGTCGATTGATCTTGATGATCTATCTGATCGAAGAGATCATGTTTACGCTGTTAGGGGGGACTTGGTGTTCTTTGGCATCTCGCTCTATTTCACCTCAATCTACTTCACAGACTTCGCATCTAGAGGTCTCCACGAGGCAGACATTGGAGTTGAGGAAATCAGGGATATTACTGGATTTTCAGCAGGAGCGCCTACCCATGTCAAGATTTATGCCGGTAGGGAGAAAAAAAAGATCTAAGAGGAAAACTTCGATCAGAGTTATTTTGAGTACAAGTTAGATTATTTTGATTATTTATTTCTAATTATATTCAGAAACTGAAGATAAACTATGTTGTCTTTGTTTTTCATTTAAGAATTTTAAACAGGAACAATAATGATAAATAATAGGATATTAATCATGCTACTATTACTACTACTACTACTACTACTTCTACTACATGTACTACTAATACCATTACTACTACTCCTAATAATGATAATAATAATAATGATAATAATAACAATTATAATATATAGATTGACGTACTTGACTTATGCCGTCCATGCCGGAAGGAGACCTCGTGATGGCTTCCGTATGGTGATGATATGCCAGGTATTTCTGTCTGCAGCCAGTCTTGATGCATCTGTCAGCCTTGTTATGGATCTTGCTTTGCAGTCCTCTGAGATGCAGTCAAGCCATCTTTTCGGTAGACGGCCTCTTGGTCGATTTCCTGTGATGTTTCCTTCAACAGCAATTTTGGGGTATCTTGTGGGTTTCATTCTTAGGACGTGGCCAAAATATTGATGTGTGTGTTTCGGATCTTGTCTATCCTTGGCACCCCCGTTATGCAACGGAGGCATGCCATTTCAAACACCTGAAGCCTTTTGCTATCTTCTTTTCTTACTGTCCAGGATTGTGCCCATAAAGCAGTATTGAGAGGATAAGTGTTTGATACAGTTGCGTCTTTGTGTGGCTACCAAATCTTTTTTTGATGTCCAGATGTTATTTAGTCTCTGGAAAGCTGCCCCTGCTTTCCTGATTCGATTGTTAATGTCACTTGAACTTGAGCCGTTTCCTGCTATTGTTCCCTCGGTTACACGAAATCTTCCACCTGTTTTAGTCTGTCGCTAGCTATGTCAATGTTGAGGTTGCACTTCATTTTGATAATAACGTGTTCACCTTGAGACCAAGGTCACAGCTTAATATAGATAAAAGTGTGGCAATAGAAAATCAGTTAATAATATTTAGAAATCAAAGTTGAATATATTTGTTCTTCGATTGGAAAATCTGAACTGTAATTGATCTGAGCCTTTGCGTATTACTAGTGTATAAAAAACAATTAGATTATGTTTTTTCTTTTAAATCTACAAACCTGAAAGCTATATACCATTAAGTCCTTTGACAACGTAGCTTTAAAAGCGGAATTGTTTACCTGAAGAGCCTTAAACAAGGATGCTGTCTGTTTTCTCTAAATCGCACTCCCTTTAATATTTCAATAACGCTGCTCGCATGAAATTATTTTAATTGATTTATTTTCAGACTTAACGTGCCCAGTTAGCGAGTCTTGCCCCGATAACAGTCGATGTCAGCTCGTTGCGTATAACACTCCCGAGTGCATTTGTATAGCGGGTTTGAACTGCCTTACAAGTAAGTAAATATTTACATATTTACAATTTGGCTAAACTATGGACAACCTACCTTCATTAGAGTTAAGCTACCCTGACACTTGCACGGATTTCAGCCCCGTTTGCTCTGTGCGACAATCGATAGACGTCCGAGAGACAATAGAGACTTTTAGATTTGCACGTCGACATAGTGGACTGCTACGTGTAACGTTCTTTTAAGGCACTGTGATGTCCTTTTACGGCACTGCCATTGCCTTAAAAGGACGTCACACGTAGCAGTCCACTATGTCGACGAGCAAATCTTAAAGACCATATTCAGGAGATAACCGAGAGAGAGAGAGAGCCTAGAGCCAACCGAGAGATGATCCTTTTTAGAAGGCAATGAATGTTCCTCGTTAACTATACAGGTTCCACAGGGATAGCCCCTGCCTCCCTGGTTGCTTATCAAGGAATAGTAGATATTAAAGTGTCATACTCATAGAACTTGACATTTCATCTAATTCAAGCTCTGAATTCTATCAAATTTTTTAAAGTATACTATTCTTCAATGATTCGGTAACACATGAAAAACGAACCTTAGATTTCCCCATAGATTATTAGACAAAATACATTATCGTTAAAGGTAAAGACCAGTTATGGTCATGCGATTGCATTGTGAAAGAAACGTTGTGGAATCGATCGGAAAAGGTTGATCATCTAGCATCTAGCATCTGCAAGGTTCTGGAATCATTAAAATGATCAGAAATTTGGCCCATTCTACGTAAAGTTACAAGCACTATACACAGAAAGATGTATATGGGACTACCCTATATCTCTCACAGACCATGAGAGAAACAAATTTACCAAATATATGAATTAGTAGGCGGTTTCCCGGCAAATTTTTTATCATCATGTATTAGTCAAAACATATTCTTTCACATGATTGGTAATGAGAGCTTCCATATCATTTTTTGAAATTGGGGCATTTCCAATACTAGTCTTTACCTTTAAGGCACAAAATATTAAAAAACTGGAAAATAATATGGTGCATTGTTCAGCTGTCGTTTTACGCAATTTAAATGGCCCAAATTTCTGTTTGTGTGTCGTTGTTCTTCTTTTTGTGGGTTTGTGTTGTTGGTATTGTTGATTTTATTTTGTTTTTACTTGTAGGAGTCACATGTACTCTCCCGAACCCCCCGCTGATGGCATCTTTCGTCAACCCCAACGATAGCTACACGGCTAGTACAACTGTGACTGTTACGTGTGACAATGGCAATGACCAAGCTGAGTGGATTTGTAACGCTTTTACAGGAAACTGGGACGAAGAGCCAATCGACTGCTCCGATCAGTCTTCAGGTATTCTTTAGCTCTTTAAAAAGATAATGGTCACAACAACAACACTATCAATAATGATGATAATTGTGGTACTGATAACAATAATAATAATAACCATAATAATAACAATCATCACCATCATCACTATAATAATACAAAAAGAAAGAAGGAGAAGCAGAAGAAGGAGAAGACGAAGAAAAGGAGGAGGAGGAAATAGAAGAAGCAGAAGAAGAGGAAGAAAAACAAGAACAAGATAACGACAAAAGAGAAAGAGAAGATGATGATGTAAGACTATGGTCCTGCTTACCAAGAGTATCCTAATCAGTAGTAATACTGCTCTTCTGGAGTGCCCTGCAATCGTGTTAATACCCCTGCCTCATCGTCTGGCTACTATCTGGATTTAAGACGTCAGGCATTAATTTCAATGAACTTGTTCCTACTAAGTACCTTGTTTGCTTCTCCTGGGTGAAGAATAGCAATCGTAAAATAATGTCTTGCCACATTTATGACTTGGCAGGAATTTGAACCCTGACGTTGGAGGCGTAAGTCGGCCACATTGAGAAATAAAGAAAATCTACGAGACTGCTCTTTTTTTGGAAAACAATTTGTTTAAACCTTCTTTAATAAACACGTTGAAATTAATGAAATGCGGAGAATATCATTAATTTTGTTTTGTCTTTTATTAATAGCTTAAATAGGCGTGGAATGTTGTTGCTTTTTCTTTTTTCAGCATCTTAACAAATAAGAAAAGTTCCTGAAACCTCTTTCCTGCCAATTTCAGGCACATTAGGTATAGTATTTGAGGCTATGAAACCAGCATTTGTTACCTGATACAGGTGTGGCAACTAAGCAGCAGAAAGTGCTACTGCTATGCTTAGGAAAAGTTGATTTGTGTCGTGAAAACGTATTGTTCTGGATAAACTTGATGACAATATGAAGTTTAAACACATTTTGGGGTTACACCCACTTCACCCAGTAAATAGAGATCGCATGCTCGATCTGTTCGATTATTTCTGTTCTTGTTTCAGATCAACCTATAGCAATATACGCGGGAATTGGCGGTGGAGTATCGCTCTTAGTGCTGCTGTTGTGTATATGTGCATGTGTCTACTGGTAATTATCAGACCTTTTTTCTGTGTTAAAGGTACTATGTCCCTTTTGCAGCCAACCTCAAATTCTGTAGAACTTTTGTAGGAATTATGAATATGTCATGAATGTCCTATTTGTGAAATTTGAACGTTAGCAGCGTCCTAATATTCAAATTATGCAAGGAAACCCGTTTACTTGCTAGACTGCACTGTCAGACACTTTTGAGTGAGTGACTGGCTTTTTTTCTTCTTTGGTAATGACATACATAAAATGAGCTGTAAAGGCTACATGAGCATTTGCCTACATCAATAACCCACTTCTCGTGATGGCCAAAATTAAACTGATTGAATCTTCGCGCAGCATAAAACGTATGACCATTCGGTACAATGGTCTGAAAATCAAGACTATTACTTATTGGCTCTATAGCTCCTAAGTCGATTTGACAACTAATGGTAGTTTTTTTTCCACGTGAAGACATTTTTAAGCCCCACCTTTTTTAGGGAAGTTCTAAATTAGTATTATCTTTCAAATGCCGTTGGAATTTAACCTTTTCATTTGTTTGGCCTGCAAATGGGACATAGTACCTTTCAACAGACATTGCATTATCTATATAATGGAGATTATTAGCAGAAAACATCATGCAAAAATTACACCGTCTTTCGAAAGTTATTATTCTCTCCAACATGTATTTCTTAAATTTGTTTTAAATGCTTATAATTGATTTGTAATGTTTTGTTGGAAACATGAATAAATTTGAAATCTTGAAATCTTGAAGTATTGTGTTTCTTGTAAAAGTCAATTTTTTTTCGGCGGTTCTATTATATTTGTTCCAAAGCTGCATGTTAAAGGTAGGGAATTGTTGGGAAGTGTATTTAACGCATAAATAATCGTTGGTTTATACTTACATTATTTTCACTCAGGGACATATCCCTGTATCTAGCAAAAAAACTACAAGTGAGGAGAGAATGAAAATGAAAATCAATATTGTGGTAAATGTGATATGAGGGGACTAATTAAAGACTCATTGATTTGTTTTCTATGAACAGGACGAAACGCAAACCGCAAAGACCTTCTGTCGCCACCCCCGTTCGGTCTGCCGCCCTATATATGACTGCTGTTTACACTGCAGGAGCCCAGCCTGGCGTAGTCACAATGCCTGCTCAGGCAGGTGCTATGCCGGGCAATCATGCCACCAGCTTTGTTAACCAGACAGTCCCCTACCATCCTGGTCAGGCAGTTGCTATGCCGGGCAATCATGCCACCAGCTCTGTTAACCAGACAGTCCCCTACCATCCTGGTCAGGCAGGTGCGATGCCGGGCAATCATTCCACCAGCTCTGTTAACCAGACAGTCCCCTACCATCCTGGTCAGGCAGGTGATATGCCGGGCAAGGGTGATAAGAAGCAGCTCGAGTCTGAATACGAGACTTCCTTGGACGCGATGAATGGACCTTCTGGTGCGGCAGCATATCCAGAGCAGTATCCAGGGCAACCTGGAGCGCCTCACCCTTACTTCACAAACCCTCAAAACGTAATACATACATATGAAGAGCTTGATTCCAAAAGGAGCTAAATCCATATTTTATCAAAACTGAGTTTTTTGTCTTAAAATAATGGTTTCCTACATAGGAACAAAATGCACTATATGACATTCTAAAATTTCACCAGGAAATATGAAATTTTTTAGTTACAATATCATGTTTCATTCCAAAAGGAGCTAAATCCAAATTGGTTTCATTCCAAAAGGAGCTAAATCTACTTTGGGTAAATCAACTTTTTTGTTTCTCCACTTTCCCTTCAGCCATGTACCTTCATGTTGTTATTTATGTTAAAGGTGTCGTCCTGGACCAATACTATATGATAAGTAAAAAATCTACCAGTTATTTCTCATTTTTTACTAAATTAATAAAATTTATGGATTTAGCTCCTTTTGGAATGAAACATGGATTTAGCTCCTTTTGGAATGAAACGGATTTAGCTCCTTTTGGAATGAAACTGTGATATGTTGTTTACTTTCTTTTCAAAAGGTATTTTTAGATGTGATTTTACTGTTATTATTTAAAAGGAAAGGTTTGCTACTAAATTAAAATAAATTTCAGTGTCTTTATTGAGAAAATATGCTAAAATTTCACAAATTTTAGGTACAATATCATGTTTCATTCCAAAAGGAGCTAAATCCACGAAAAATAAAAATCTAAAAATTTATAAAAAATCAGAAATAACTGGTAGATTTTTTTAAATCATATATTTTTGGTCCAGGTTGACACCTTTAACATGTATAACAGCATGAAGGTACAAGGCTGAAGGGAAAGTGGAGAAATAAAAAAAAAGGCGATTTACTCAGAAGTACCCAAAGTTGATTTAGCTCCTTTTAGAATGAAACTCTTCATATAATGATAAATAAATAAATGATAAAATAAATAAATACATACCTATTAATTGAATTAATTAACAAATTAATTAATGGATGGTGGATAAATGAATGGATGAATAAAAAGATGAGTAAATCAACAAATAAGTGAACAAAATTATAAATGAAAAAATTAATTAATAAGTTGATAAATAAATAAAATTAAATAAAATATGGTACAAAATGATCTAGCGTAAAAACGGATGCTCAGTCGGTCCCTATTTCTAAAGAATCGGAGTTGGAATCCTTTGACACAGTACTATTTAGCGCCAGCGATTAGGTGTCCGCTTGAAGAAGAAGAAAAAATGAGACCCGTACGCAGACCCACCGCCACAGAAGTATAATAGAAATACTAGGGGTCCGTTTCATGAAATTTGTTATCTATAACAACTGCAAAATTTCTATAACAAATTAGTTCTCAGCCAATCGATACCATGATTTCAGTAGTTTATAACAGTAGCTTGTAACTTGTATCTACCGCTGATGGGCAGTTGGGTACACAGTGAGGTTTCTACTGTTAGCACGCAGCGTGTGCGGTAGGAATCGGCATACGTTGCACATGATTTAATATAAGTATAGTGTTAAGTTTGATATTGGCTATAATTACTGTGTCGTTGTTTATGTAAAATGTTAAATATTGAGGGGAAAAATGGATTTTAATGCAAAGCATTTAGATTTAAAATTCATTGTAACAGTCAAACACATTGAAATCGATGGAACCGTGTCGGTCTTAAAAATTGTACCTAAAATACAACTAAACAGAGACGGTACTCCCGGGGGATTGTTCTTATCATTATTGTTATCATTATCACTATCACTATTTTTGTTATAATCATTTTTTTAAAGTTTTTTTTTATTCATGTTGTTGAAGATGATGTTGTTGTCATTATGCTGCAGATATTGAAAAGCAAATGATAAAGGTTAAAGATTTTCTAAACCAAATGATTTGGTGTAGGTCTCTCGTACCATGCGAAAGATTGAACTCAAATGCAAAAAAAAAAAGCGGGGCGGGTAAACTTTAAATTTTGATATTTTTCTGTATTTCTGTACATACATCTTTCAAGAGCAATTGGCTGATGTTGATTTTTCTTTGCGTAGCTAAGAGGAGGGGAGCAGCAGAAAGGGAGATGGGGCAGCTTCCAGGAACCGTAAAAAGGCGAAGAAAGTACTGACATCCACACTACACATGGTCCTTCATATTTCATCCCTGTAGTAAGACCGGTGTCGCCCCCCCCCCCTCCCCCCGATGACAAGTGCCCCCAAATGCCTGGGCCATGCTTCACCACTCTTTTAGTTTGAGTTTTCTTTTGTTTTTTGTTCGGCATCCGCCGTCTTTTTCGTATTAATCAAGAGATATGTACAGAAATTGTACAACTCCTTTATAATTTGACAAATAATAGCTTTGCAATTATGTTCATTCTTTATGGGATGTCGTCTGCTTGGGCAGTAGTGGTCCATAATTATAGTGACGTCATTGAAACATTGTTATTTTTCCGGCGAATCTCTCGTATATCCCAGCTGCTATGGAGCTGGTTGTATTTGTATTTTTATAAATCACCCGATATGTAGTTGACCTAAAACTTGTACGATGGTCATCTGTTAGCTTACCAGTTTCTAGTGATACATTAGTTGACATATTTGTGATATTCTTTGAATTTCACCTTTAAGTCTTTGAAATAAATTTATTAATATTGAAATAATACATGAATTTTTTGTAAAGAGTTGAATCTGTCTTTACACAAATTATCTTGGTCTGTAGATGTTGAATATGTTGGTTATGGTAAATATTAAATATATTGGTAAAGTGAAAACTTACTGCATTGAATGAAGAGGAAACACTGAGCCACAACCGTAAACCCGAGGCAGAATACAACAAGCCGGGCCATGTTTGATGTCGAAGTACAGAGCCAGTCTAGAAGAGATGGGAAAATATAATGAGACTATTATTTTTTCCATATTATTTTATGTATGTCACATTGCTGTCCTGTCATTATCATTATCATCATTCATATAATTAATAATCATAGAAGTAGAAGCAGTAGTAAAGTAGAACTAGCAGTTGTTGTTGTTAACGTTGTTTTACTATCATTAATGATACTACTATTAGACATTTAAAAGATAAAATTAGAACATTTTAGTAGTAAGCACGTACTTCTACTACTACTACTACTACTACTACTACTACTTCTACAGTGAAACCTGTCTATAAAGACCACCCAAGGGAGACAAGAAAAGTGGTCTTTATCGTAGGTGGTATTTATGTACAGGCTCCTTTAGTACATGTTTCAATGAGAAACCATTTTTAAGGGGAAGAAGTGGTCTCTGTAGACAGGTAGTTTTTCTATGCAGGTGGTCGCTAATGCAGGTTTGAATGTAGTACTACTACTGCTACTGCATGTGTACTACTATTACTACTACTACTACTACTACTACAACTTCTACTACTACTACTTTGATGGGGCCTCACATTTACGAGGCCATTGCTTCTCCACTGAACCATGACTGTACACAGCGGGGGCTAGGGTAGGGGGAAGTTCCCACAAATAAAAACCACAAAGAAAATGCAATAAATTATCAATAATTCATTGCATTTTATCCCGGTCCCTAACTTAAATAAAATCCTCTGTACGGCCATGCATTATGGCTCAAGACATGGGCACACAGAAGATGTTTTTTCTATTGGGGACCGGGGGGATACAATGAATTATTGATAATAATAGTAATACTGCCACTACTACTACTACTGCTACTACTACTACTATTACTATTAATAGTAGTAATACTACTATTACAACTATTACTACTATTAATACTACCACTACTACTACTACTACTACTACTACTATTGATACTATTAACGCTATTATTATTACTACTCCTACTACTTCTACTACTACTACTACTACTATTATTATTATTACTACTACCATGGACTTAAGTCCATGCTACTACTACTACTACTACTACTACTACTATTAATACTATTATTTATTTTACTACTACTTCTACTACTACTACTAGTAGTAGTAGTAGCAGTACTATTATTACTACTACTATTACTAATAGTACTATTAATACTATTGACACTATTACTACTACTAGGCCTACTACTATTAATACCATAAACACTATTACTACTACTACTAATAGTACTATTAATACTTTTATCACTATTACAACTATTACTACTATTACTACTACTACTATTAATAATAATAACACCATGACTACTACTACTACTACTACTACTACTACTAAAACTACTACTACTACTACTACTACTACTATATAATACTAATAGTAATATTACTAGTATTACTGCTGCTTCTACTCTTACAACTACGACTACTACTGCAGTACATCCACTAATCAATAAACCAACCTGAATAAATGCAACTTCTGTTACTTTTATAGACAATATATTCACTAATGCTTTAAACATAAACTTTCACAACGCGTTTTAAAAACAAGGATGCTGAAAATGTAATGCATCGAAATGCAAATTCTGTCAATATCCAACACGTCAAAAATAGCCTCATAAATGAAGAATGGGAAGAGATTAATAAAATAAAAGATGCTGAGCAAGCATATGAATCCTTATCTGCAAGATTATTTTCTTACATCCATTAACAAAAAGGAAAACCATCCCAGAAAGGCATGAAGAAACAATGGATTACTAAAGGAATAATGACATCTATCAAGAAAATAAATCAACTCCATAAATGATCTATTCACAGTTCATCGGCTCGAAACCTTAATAATTATAAAACATACCGCAATGTGTTAACCAACAATATAAGAAATTCGTGAGAAAACACCATTCACAACAGCTCGAAAAAGTGAAAGGCAATTTGAAATCAACATGGAATATAATAAATAAATTTACTGGAAGGGAAAACAAATCACTCAAACATCACACAATTTAACAAAAATGGCCTTGAAATCTTGTTCACTCCCATTCCAACATCATTTTTGTATATAGGAATTATTAAGTTTTAAAAAAGGATTACTAGATATGATATTGATTGATATCCCTGTGTTAAAAAGAATGACCTTTTCTACAAATCACAATCAATTTTATAGTTTTTAAATACTGTATTCTAATAACCATGTTTTTAATTACACCAATGTACATTTTTAATTTCAATTCCAATGCATAGATATAGCAACTAAAATAAAGTTGAGTTCTGGTCATGGAAAGGCGTTGTGAAAGAAACTATATGAAAGCAATAGAGAAATAGGCTGATCATATTCATACATATAACAATTGATGCTATGAAGTTTTGGAATGGTAATAATGAAGAACAAATTGACTCATTATCCTAGAGATCATACACACTGCATACAGAAATGGGTAAAAGTTAGTGCACACAAATATTTGGTGCAAACGTTTAGCTATTGCTTGTTATATTCCAATCATGAGGGCATTTTAAGAGCATCTCTTTTCAAGAGACATTTCTCCTT